AGAAAAGGCCTTTGACTAAATTCAACAGCTCTTCATGCTAAAAACTCAGTAAATTAGGTATTGATGGAACGGATCTCAAAATAATAAGAGCTATTTATGACAAACCCACAGCCAATATCACACTGAATGGGCAAAAACTGAAAACATTCCCTTTGAAAACTGGCACAAGACAGGGATGCCCTCTCTCACCACTCCTATTCAACATAGTGTTGGAAGTTCTGGCCAGGGAAATCAGCCCAGGAAAGAAATAAAGGGGTAATTCCAGATTAGGAAAAGAGAAAGTCAAATTGTCCCTGTTTGCAGATGAATGATTTAATATTTAGAACCCTCATCATATCAAGTGCAAACCCTCCTTAAGCCCTTGGCACCTAAGCCTGATAAGCAACTTCAAGTAAAGTCTCCAGGTACACAAAACAAGTGCAAAAAAACCACCAGACATTTCCGTGTACACCAATAACCAGACAAACCAGAGAGCCAAAATCATGAGAACTCCATTCACAATGCTTCAAAAGGAAATAAAATTAATTACCTAGGATCCAACTTACAAGGATGTAAAAGACCTCCTTAAGAAAAAACTACAACCCACTGCTCAGCTCCAAATAACAGAGGACCACAAACAAATGAAGAACATTCACGTACTTATAGATGGAGAATCAATATCATGCGTGAAAATGCCATACGCCCCAAGGTGGAATTTATAGATTCAATGCCATCCCCATCAGCACCAAATGAACTTTCTTGCACAGAAATTCTGGAAAAATAATTATTTTAAAGTTCATATGGATACCCAAAAAAGACCTGCATTGCCAGACAATCCTACACCCAAAAAACAAAAGCTGGAGCATCCACACTACCCCTGACCTTCAATTATACTACAACGCTACACTAACCGCAAAACACCAGCCAATGGACTGGTACCAAACAGAGATACGACCAAAGAACAAAACAAGCCTCCAGAAAGAAACGACACCATTTACAACCATCCGAATCTTTGACCAAACCCGAAAAAACAGAAGGGCGAAAGGATTCCCTTATTTAATAAATGGGTGCCTAGAAAACTGACTTAGCCATATGTGAGAAACGCTGAAGCTGGATCCTTCCTTAACACCTTATACTAAAAATTAAGTCAAGATGGATTTACAAGACTTAAATGTAGACCTAAAACCATGAAAACCCTAGAAGAAACCTAGTAATACCATTCAGGACATAGGCATGGACAACAGGACTTCATGTCTAAAACACCAAAAGCAATGGCAACAAAAGCCAAAATTGACAAATGAGATCTAATTA